ACCAGCGAAATTATTTTCACGATGGGGCCAGCCGAAGCCAAAGTGATGACTTGCCCCGCCTGAGCCCCACCATGCCCACGGGGCATGGCGGGGCCCGGAGGGGCTGGTGTTTCAAAGGTAAAAGCCACTTACCCTAGTTTTGTGGTTTCTAATAGTGTGAGCGTTAGTTATTTCCTGCAAAGGGCAGTTTTCTGTTATTGCCACAATATTTTAAGACAGATCAACTACCCATATTGTCATTTTTTTAAAGTTTTGAGAACGGACTCTAGACAAACATTAATTTTTGTTTGCGAAATTCGGTAGGACCTAGTCCAATTCACTCCAGTTTATCAACAATATGTTTCTGCTACCAATAGGTGCATTAACCAGTTTCAAGACAACACCGCATTTCTCTCTACCATTCTTCCCCTGAATATAGCCAGGTCGCATTCCCCAACTGCAAGCCTCCTGTTCAGTTCCGTCAATAATTCGAAACTTTTGAGCCGTTCCGCTAGAAAACCTTGTTATGAGAGTTTCGTAGCTTTTTTCCTCAAGAGAAGGAAATAAGACTTTCAAAAGTGGATCAAGTGAATCATTTATATCTACCGAAACTCCCAACGAAACATATTATTGTTTTAATTTTAAATTTTCGCGATAATAAACAAAATCACCTTCATAAAATGAATCCCGGCAATTGTAAAAAGGAGAATGAAACGAGCAGTGGTTATGGTTTTGGGAACGTTAGCAAATATGCTGTTTTAACACCAAATGATCTGGAACTCAGGAGAGGTTATTTGATTTTTGATGCATCCTTCGAATGTGGTAAGAAAAATTGCAGAGGAAGTAAGTGAATAGGAAATTTGGGGCGAGTCGAGGCTCTATCCGAGTTTGAATACGATCTTTATATTCGACCTGACACATGCAATCCCAAGACAAGAAATTGGTTTTACTTTTCCGTTGAAAATGTTCGATCCCAACAAGTTTTGTTAATTTATAAAAATGACTTTTACAGCGTGTGATATTTAATATAACCAATTTTACAAAGTGCGGCACACTTTATCGTGATGGAATGTCTCCCCTTGTAATGTCAACAAGCCGACCATATTGGTAAAAATTCAATGAGTTTAACCCTGGCTAGGTGCAGAATACCGAGGAAAAACGTTTTCTATTATCGATCAACGGAACATGAAAACAATTTCATTTTGTCTTTCGCCGTTTGTTTTGACAGAGAAGATGACATCTATTACTTTTGCTACTGCTATCCCTACACATACACACAACTTCAACGTTATATAAACCGCATTAGCCAAATGCACAGCGTAATTGTAAAAAGAGAGCTACTTGGAATGAGTTTGGTAAGAACAAATAATCAAATATGTGATTTTTCGAGTCACAGTACAGTCACAGTAGGATGTTCGAACTATCACGTGATATTTTTAATATATATTAAAAATATTAAGATATCTTACCTTCTTGCTGCTGTAGCATACCATTTGGTTTTTGACTTTTCAGTCAACACAACAATTACTCGTGTAAGCATGACGCCATTACCTATATAATTAAGAAAGGCCATACTTGTAGCTTGAAACTTGGACTTTGAGTTGCAAAATTTTATAACTTCAACCTTCACATCAGGATCTTCTTGGGTTCATACACATTAACTCGAGTTAATGTGCATTAATTGACTAATTATTAAGAAGATAAATCTTCTCAAGAATATTTTTTCATCTTGAAATAAAAATCCTGATTGTATTACTCTTTATTGAATTTTGAAACTAAAAAGCCATCTAGCACATTCATATTGAAATGTCCCTATCCTGAAATATAATTAAGTGCAAGTAGCTGTCTTCGCAATCCTTAGTAACTCTCCTGTCATAAGGCGAATTTATACTTTAAGAACGTTTGCTGAAAAAGATTAAAGATGAAGTAAAATACGCTTTTGTAATTTCTTCCTTATCGATTTTGCTGCATTTGTTAGGGGCTTCGAAGACTTGACCTGCTTACAATAACGGATCCTCGAAATTCAAATTTATTCGGGTTGCCAAAGAAGCGTATAGTTTTCGTGACTGCAAGGGTTCACCCGGGTGAAAGCCCATCTTCCTACGTATGTCAAGGTATTTTGTTGAATTTTTAAATATTGAGCTAGACTCTTACTACAACCAGTTCTTAGAGGCGCGAGGAAATTGTACAGGCCATGAAACTTTACCCGTGAATTTCTCTTCGTAGGTGCTAAAAAGCCATAATTCGGGCCAGCGAGTCGGCGTCCTTAGAAAATTATACGCTGCAAAAATATTTTCTGGTCACATTAAGTCCTTATGGTCAGAAATACATTGGTTTGAAATTTAAATTGCCATGAGCGGCATATTATCTTCTGTTTAGTTGCACGATAAATTTTTAACTACATTTCCTATACTTTAGGAAGGCCACCTATTAGATGATACATTTTTAAGCTCAGGGAAATGCAACTTATGAACAAGAATTTGGAAATGCACTTCTTTGCGGTGATGGGATGTTTATTTAAGTAGTGTCTTATGCCAACCGTTTGTTCATCAAGAAAAAGAATGATAGTATAGTTTTTTTACACGTAGGTTGAACTAAAATGTTAGAGAGGGTTGCAGAATTGGAAGTCTTGGGCATACAAAGACTGCCACCCCTGAAGTTGCTTAATTCAGTGATCGTTTTTAAAGTTACAATATCTGTAAGTCACTCTTAACACAAGGATGTCAAACTTAGCGATCAGCGATCACACATATCAAACTGCTATCCTCTGTACATGCAATGGGCAGTTACCTTTTGATGTTTGTCACTTCTAAGCAGCACCGATACCTTTGCATTTTGCAGGACTTATTGATTTCCTCACAAGTTCGCATTCAATTGCCAAACAGCTTCGGCTGCATCTGGTTTTTATGATTGTACCAATGCTGAATCCCGACGGGGTATTCTTTGGAAATCACCGGTAAGAGCGCGCGATTAAAAAGTATTTTTTTTTAAAAAAACTTTTCACATGAAATCTATAATAGCATTCATATTTTGTTTCCCTGTTTAAGCTTATTAAGAAAAGCTTGAATTTGCGAATCGCACTAGGTTGTGCGTTTTTTATCCCCATCAGCAAATCTTCAAAATTAGTTGTTTGGGCGCGAAATTCGATTATTATTTGTAACTGTAAATTGTTTTGGCAGTTAGCCGTCATTTACTTCAAGTTCCTCGCAGTAGAGGCCACATTACGAGCAACCAATGGCACAAAAATCGTTGGCCAATATTTGGCAACCTTTGTCTTCATTCCGACTGTTGATAATTATGCACTAGCAGAACCTATCTTTTCTGTTCGTTTAGAAGCTCTCTTCTTGGGTTCGACTTAAATCGCCATTGGCAGGAACCGCTTCCCGTAGCCCAACCAACTATTCACTCTGTAAAAAACCTACTTGCATCTTTGGACAAATTTGACGTACGTTAACTATTGTGCCTCCTCTGTTTAATTTATTTTACTCAAATGGTCTCCTAGTCCTCCACCGATGAACACATGTTTATGAGTACAAACTCTGAATGATCACCTCTCATTCCCATTGGTGTTTGGTGTCCGAAGACACAATATTTGCCAAACCTCGTTTCGAAGCATTTAAATTAACTGTATTATGAAGAATACACACAAGTTAAATTCACCCGGAAATTGTTAAAAAAGATGTCCTCCATAAACTGACTGAAAAACAGAACGCACCTTCCCTTGCTTTCACTGGATGCGCTAATGCGGCAGCCTTAGGAGGGCACGCAATATTTTGAGCAAGCATGAACCTCTTGCCTTTTACATTGATGTTCTAGCCAACTTTTAAATTAAAAAGACAATACGAGATAGCTACGGTTGGGCGGGAAAAGGTTTGGATGACAGGTTGTACTGCATCAGTAAGTTTCGTAACTCGGAAGAGTTCATCGTCCGTTCTAAGGGTTAATTGGGCGTCTCCGCTCTTCACAAAGAGGCTTGAGGATTAAACCCTTTCCCAAAACACGAAATTACCGCTGCGATTGAGTCCTCTAATACTTATATTTCACAGTCTACAGTTTTGCTAAAGTATGTTGGCAGACTACGATAATAAGTGAATACAGACTGACACCTGTGCTGGCGTTGTTTTTGAGAATAAAAAAAATATCTGTAATGCCAGCAGTACTGACGGTGACGGTGGGATGTCTGTCGGTGAGCTCTTTGCTTAACAATCCCAGTTCTTGATGCAGCGGAATTTGTTAAATCTTCGTAAAAGCTGAAAACAGGAGACTTTATAGATTGAACTGCAGCTTTATCCATGGGATAAACCACGCACATTAACTAGAGACGAAGACACATAATGGCCACAGTAGCTGTAGACTCTCCCTAGTACATGTCATCGATGGCATTCAGCTATGCAGAAATTCTATTCTTATCCTGTCTTTTGTGCTCTCTCTCTCTCTCTCGACCCCCGTAGCAGCTCAGCCGCTAGTATTATAGGCAGATAAACATTGCAGGGGATGGGGGAGAGGGTTCGTGAGCGCGTTGAACAACTTTCATGTCCTGCTGATGGACTGAGTTAACTCCCTCTTGGACGTTTCCATATAGATAACGGTTTTAATTCAAGGGCAGTAACACTGAGCTCCTGAGGTTGACGAAAAATAACGTGTTCAAACCACCTCAGTCGTCTTTCTTGAATGGACGGGAATATCCTTGTGATTTTGTCGCAGCGAGTGCGGACTGTCTCATTTGGGACGAATTCGGTGTACTT